CACATTTTAACACAAATAATTAATTTTTTATCTACATTCCTTCCGATTTTGAAAGGATTGATTATGATGAGTTAGAAGGAAAACTCATTAATCCACTTTTCTATTCTTTTTATTTTTTTTCTTTACCAAACATGATGTTTTATCTATTCATCCAACTTTTCATCATTCTATTTTTTCATCATCTCAAACAGAGAATTAGTCCAATATCATGGATATATCGAAGAACTATATAAATTGGCTCCTCAATCTTTATTTCAAAAATCAAAATAAAGGCTTCCAATTTTGTTAATATGAATGAGTTCTTGACATTAATAAAATGAGAAAAAAAAATGTTCTCAAAACATGACCGTTGGATAAAAAAGAGCTTATTCCACGTAGCACGGGCCCCTAACCTTTGCTATTGTTCATAGAGTTAAGGGTTAAATATCTTCTTCATTATTATTTCGGGGTGTGTTTTAATAGATACCTTCACCTACTCTTTTTTGAACATTTATCTTCTCCTACTCGAGTGCCACCAATGAAATGAGTAAACATAGCAATTGAAATTAAAACTCTAAGTCTACTTTGTGCCGAATTCTTGACCAATTTCACTCGCCAGTCAAACTTTTTATAAAGTAATGGGGTCATTAATTACAAATTTGAGTAATTCTTGGTAACAATTTAAAAATAAGGGTGTGTTTGATTTAAGCATCAAGAAAAACTCGTTTGTCCTATACTCATTTATCTGGTCATTTGACTAATTATAGTGATAATATCTTCTCATCTCATGTTTAATTCAAATATTAAGAAATAGTAGATCCCACATTTATCTCATATAATACTTTATTTGGATAGAGTATTGAATGATGATATATATATATATATATATATATATTAAATTATTAAAGAATTCTCAAGATAAAGAATTATATGTATATTCTAGAAATTCTTAAAGATAAAAATGTATTTTGTCTAAATACATCACAACCGAATTATTTAAACCCATCAAATTAAGAGGTTGTAAGTAGTATTAAATACACTATTCATCCATATTGATTTTATTTCTAGGTGATAATATCATGCCTAAAATGTGTATCCAAATATGAATATAAGAGAAATAAGGTGAGCCCAACATTATTTTTTTTTAATTTTTCTTTTTTAATACCTAAAGTAAACACACCCTAAGATAATTATATGCTATTTGAAACAAACCAAAAATAATGATCCAAATGATGTAACACTTACATGATAAGTAAAGTTTAAATTTTATATAAATAAAAGAGAGACGAGAAGTATCGTCATATTTATATCAATATCACATTATTTTTGTAGAAAATAACATCACGTCATTTGGTCCATGTTTTTTATTTTATTTTGTAGTTAATTTAGTATTATCCTTAACCATGTTAAGAAAAAATTAAAAAACAGTGGTAGATGGTATGCAGATTCTTAGCAAATGTTTCCTTTAACTGTTATACTACGTTAACATTGTCACGGAATTTTATTGTTTAATAATAGATAAAAAAAATGGACAAAGTGAATACCACTATGTTACATAAAGTTGATTATTATCTCTAGATATGAGTACTAATCAAATCAAGTTTTGCGAGCTTAAACTTGAGCTTGTTGAGTTTGTTTTTCTAAACGAGTTTAAAAAAATATTTAAATTCGATTTTGTTTAAAAAATGAGCAGAATTCAAATAGCTCGACTATTTTATATATAAATGAGTACAGTTTTGAGAGCTCAAACCAAATCTTTTAGGTTCATTTTTTCAAATTAGTCTAAAAAATTGTTCAAATTTAAATCGTTTAAAACACAAGTCAAACTTAAACCGAGTCCTATCCGAAATGAGTTCGAGCCGAGCCCAAGTAACTTTTTTCAATTAACACCCTATCTCTTGACAGAAAGGTAGTTACTTAAAAGAGTGAGATTAATTTTAGTTATTTGTTATCTTATTATTAAAACGATAATATCACTTATGCTTCATTTTGTACGATAGAAAATTAAAGGAAGAAAAGTTGAAGAGATAAATAAAATATTATATTTGGTAAGAATAAAAAATAAGAAGAATGAAAAATTAAATGTATCAACTTTCCTTTTAACTCGTTAAAATCAATCCCTCTAAAACTTGAGAGAAAAAATAGATAAAAAAATTAATTATGTGTATTGGTATGTATGTCATTTGATTATATATTTTTTTATATATATATATATATATATATATATATATATATCATATTTATTTACTAGTCATAACCCGTGCCTGAAGGCACGTTAGAACAAAAAATTCGAGTCCTAAAAATTGATATCACTATATTAAATAATATTTTTTATTTCTTTCATTTGTTTGTTTATATCATTCAAAATTTATTTTTACTCATTATTTTCTTAAAGATATTGACAAATTTTTCTCAAAATATATAATTCAATAAATTTTTTTAATAGATCTATACTATCATGTATAGATAATATCTAAAATAAAAATTATGTTAAATTATAAATTAATCAAATATTAAATGGTTGAGCATGAGATAGAAATGAGTGATGTGATAATTTTGGGGTGTGAGAAATGTATAGGAGATAAAATTTAACTTCTTGTATGTTTTTATTATATAGATTTGTATAGATATAAGGAAAAATTTTATTCAGCTCCCCTATAGATGGGTCTAAATTCAATGACACCTTCTTTCGATTTTAAAGTTTCACTATCACTCCCTAGTAGTGATTGTCAAGTTACATCGTTAATGGCGATGATTAATTTATAGAAATATCCCCGTGTATTTTATAGGGTAAATTTTATCTACAACCCTTATAAATAAACCTAATTTTAACAACACCCCCTGTAAATAGACCTAACTTTAACAACATCTCTTCTTGATTCTGAAATTTCAATACACTCTCTTTTAGTTCTATTATATTAGCATTTATTTTGATCAATTTAATATTCAATTTTATCAAATTAATTTTTTTTATTTAATTTAAACGAAATTAACATTTCATCTCATCAAATCAACACAAAATTGATATTTAATTTCATCAAATTAGTATTTAGTTATATTAATTTAATATTTCATTTCATCAAATTAATATTATTTATTTAATTTAATATTAAGTTATTATTTATTTTTATCAAATCAACATCAAATTGAAATTCAATTTTATTAAATTAAACTATTTAATTTATTAAATAGAATATTAAATTCCATTAATTTAAAATTTAAAATTATCAAATTTATGTCATTTCTTTAATTTAACACCAAATGAACATTTAATTTTATTAAAACAACATTAAAATTTATTCAATTAACATTCAATTAATACTAAATTAATATTTAATTTTATAAAATTAAAATAAAATTAATATTTAAATTTATCAAAATTAAGATCAAATTTATTCAATTAATATTAAATTTTATCAAATAATTTTAAATTTTATACATGAAGTATGATGTGTGAGGAGTGGTCGGACAACGTTGTGGAGGAGATATGATAGCAGATGAATTAGAAATGGATGAGATTTTGACATTGACTTTATTAATTGTAATTTTTATTATAGAAAAATTATTTTTAACTATAACAATTATTATGATAAAAAAATATAAAAATTATAAAAATTTGATTATGTAACCAAATGAGTGATAATATGATGACTAATATTATAACAAAATTATAATACGATGTTTTAAAATAAAAAATTTATTGGGATAATATAATGATTAAAATTACGTTTGTTAACTGACTAGCGCATATATAATAAGAAAAAAATTGATGACATTTTAGTCTATTTACATAATAAAAAGTAATTTTTGTATTTCCATAAAATATTTAGTTAAATCATTATTTTATCTACTCTGAGAGACAAAAGTTATTGTTATAGGAGTTGTCATTGAATTTAGACTCAACTACATGGTGTTTAGATGAAACTTTTCCTAAGATATAACATGTATATATAAAATATCTTCGATTTTTGTACTATATATATGTACTGTAAAAATGTGTGTGAGATATGAACAGTAAAGATGGAGAGCAATTGCATTAGGATAGAATATTGGGGAGACATGTCTTAGTTTGAAAAGAAAATTATGAAAAATGAGAGTGTGAGGGACAGTCAATGTCTCAGTATAGAAAGTGATCCCTTAACATAGGAAATAAAATCAGAAAAATAATGATAAGCGTTGTAATCTGTATTTTAAGGAGAGAGATACAAAGTTGAGGAATGAGAGATCGCTTAGTTGTCGGATTTGATTAGGTTGGAAAATTAAATTTATGAATGTTAATTTTGGAAACTAAAAGTTTTGAGCGGCAAAAATTTTTTACGAGCTAATATGGTACGTCGAATCGAAACAATTTGAGACGTTAATAGCTTGAAACAGTTTAAAATGTCGTCGGCATTGGATGATGCCTTTTTTGATTACAAAAACGATCTGAACCGCTCTTTTTTCTTTTAAATTTAAAATCGTTCTACTTTATTATATAGATTACAAATTATATATGTATTAATATATATATATATATATATATATATTTATTTATTTATTTATTATAAAATATGTATTTATGTTTTTACAATCATCTCACTTTTCTATCCTTCTTACCAAATACCAAATGAAAAAGAAAAAAAATTTCAATCTTCTATTTTTTCATCCCCAAACAAAACACATCATTAATATTATTTGGTATAAGTTAACCGTTACCATGAATATTTTCTCGTAGATTCCACAACGATGGTTGGTTTCCACAACACAATCCAAGTGAGAAACAAAACATTCATTAAACCTTTTCCCTTAGTTGGCTTCACGTGACCAAACCCATCCCTCCCACCCTCCCTACCTCCCCAAATGCACCCTCACTCCTCTTCGTCTTCTTCTCTCCCTCCACAACCCATGAAAAGCAGAAACAACAAACCAACCACCCAAAACACACAGACCCGTCTCCATCCATCTCTCCTCAAACAAAACAAAACCGCCTCCTACCCACCATTTCTGACCCCATTCTGAGACACAACCCAGAGATCAGAAAAATGTGTTATGTGGGTAAAGCGACCAAGATCTTCATCTTCATCATCACAGTTCTTGTGGTCACCGGCCTTGTCTTGGGATTTGGGCTTCTAAGGCATGCCGTACAGAAATCTCATAAATGCTCCGGCGACTCTTGCCGGGATTCCTCCAGAGTTTTCCCCGATCCCAACCCTGTTAATCCCTTCTCTAATCCAAGTCCCAACCCAAGTTCAAGCCCAAGCCTAAGCCCACCTCCACCTCCACCTCCACCGCCACCTAACTCAAACCCTAGCTCAAATCCGAGCCCTCCGCTACCGCTACCGCCACCGCCTCCATCTCCTCCTTTGCCTCCACCACCGCCGCCGGTTGTTGCAACGGCTCCACTGCCATTGATCAGTCCTCCGAGCCCAGTGTTGGTCACTCCAGGTCCCGTGCATTCTTAATTGATCCGTTGTTTTTATATTTTTTCAATGATTTTTTCTCCTTGTTTGGATAATTCTTAGATGGGTTTTTTTTTTTGTATAGATCAGATGGATTAGTGCTGTTCATTAATTCTCTGGATTAGAGCAGGGGAAGTAACGTTTTATTATCTCAGTACAATTGTGTGGTGTGATAGTTGATTTTGCGACATTTGAATTTGTATCGAGTACTAATCGATCTTAATTGACTGAATTAATTATGACCAATGACTTCGATTATCAAAAATCACCTTAACCAATATCAAATTTATTATTAATCATACCGTGTTTAGCATGACACAAATTACTTGTAACCTGATTCAATTCACTATTCGTGACATGTGTCAATCTAGACATTCAATATGCGTGTTTATTACTAACAAGGCGTGTTTGCATTGTATCTTTCTCAAATTCACCTTAAAAGCTAAACAATTTTAATGGGTAAAAGTTCAATTGAATTAATTTGTTGTTGATGTATATTAATATACTAAATCACTGTGCTAGGGAAGATACTATCGATACTTTGTATGTCACACTGTCAATGATGCCATTGAACATTTGACTACATTGTCTTAGTCATGACTGTGGACGAATCTTCGGTTAGTGTGCCCGTCTTTGCATTCCATGATAAGTTACTTTATCAATGTTTTTTTATAGGGTAAAGTGTATTGAGAATCCTCGAACTGTATGTGACAGATATATTAGTAGCATGTGTTTTTTAAAATAGGATAAGGCATAGGTTCCCGAAATCGGTATCGTATTTTTATTATTGGCTGAAAAATAATAAAATAATAAGAAATTATAAAAACAAAAAAAATGCACACTTTTGTTTTTATTAATTAAAAAATAAAGATTCAATACTGAAAAGTACTTTCAATATTGTCGATGACCATTATTAACTCAGTTTTTAACCCTATACATGCAATAATTGTTGCCAAACAACCAGGATGATCCCTATTGCCAACGCTCACCCTCTTCTCTCTCTTTGGAAAAAGTGAAATTACAGCCCTGCCCTCAATCACAGGCATTTCGATTTGGCTCAACTTCTTCCTCTTCTTCATGAAATTCTTCTAATTATTATTGTAGTCACAAGTTTGTGCTTGTTTGGTACTATTCTGAGGTAGATGGTGCCAAATTCGTATTGACCAGGGGTGCAACTTGGATTGGGCAACTCGAAAAAATTAGGGTTTGAGCAAGAGTTTTTAATACTTGGGTCAAAAAATTTTAACCCGAACCCGACAAATTTTAAAAAAATTATATATATATATAAAGCATTAACACTAGTTTTTCAAAAAATTTCTATCGTTCTCTGTCTCTCTCGTTCATTTTCATTTTTGTTCTAACATTAGCACTGTTAAAAATTTGGTTGAAGTTATTAGTTGTTAATTTAGGTGAATATTATGTAATATGGGCTCGTTTGGTTGCCGTATTAGAAATAGATAGATTAAATAAAATAATCCGGTCTAATACAATACAGAAGGACAAAAGACAAGACTAAATATGATATTAGAATAATACGTAATTTTATCTAGTGTTTGGTAATACACAACATAAATGTTGGATAGTAATTATTTAATCCAATCGGTTGTTTGGTTAAAGAATTATTTTATCGTATTAATGTTGAATTAACAAAAATATCCTCAATCAGTGTTTGTTATATTGATGACAGTTTGATTTTATCAGTTAAAAGGTTATAATGGTAAATATGCAAAATAATATGTTTGAGTTAAATTATAATACCACATCTTTTGGTGGTATTAAAATACATTCATACTACAAGTCTAACGTATAAAAAATATACGATAAGTATACGTTTTTGAAATTAATACGGTATCAAATTTACTTACCAAACAAAGTATTAGGTCCGATTAAATAAAAAATAATACAATTCAATATTTAATCCCCTCATAATACGTCTACCAAACGAGCCCTATATGTATTAAGTTTAGAACAATAAGCCTATTTTGGGTTCTACCTGAACTTAACGCGAATTGAACTCGTAAAGTAATCCGAAATCAGCCCGAAATCATTTAATTCGAATTCAACCCGAGCCCGCCTGAATTAAACTCGGGCAATGCTCGGTTTGAGTTCCTCAACCCGAGATAGGGTTAAGATTAGAGTTAGGATTAAAGATTATATAACTAGGGTTGACTGTCCAACCCGTCTAAGTTGCACCCCTAGTATTGACAATCACAAACATTTAACGCGGTTGGTGCCAAATTGATGGATGGTTTGGGTGTAGAAATGATTGTGATTCTTCTGCTAATTTGTATTGCTCAATCCGTCAAGAATGTCCCTCATTGACGTTGACAGAATAAACAACGAAAATTAATAGAAGGGTCACAACAATATTTTTAATTCATTAAGGATAATCAAAAGTGCAAAATACGTTTGGCCATATTGAAACCTATGTTTTTGGCTTGAGACGAGGGAAGGGCGAATTGCAAAGAGAGTGGTAATAATGGAGAGGTGGTGGCAATGGTGGTTGTATGCGCATCCGCATGAAGAGGATATTTAAATATAACGGTGATACAATGTTGAGCCGTCACATAGAACCCCATTGAATAATAAATTGCCAAATAAGTTATTGAATAAAGGAGGTATTTACAAAATGTGGATAAACTATGGGGCCTGGTAGTATTATTCCACTATAAATTTATCAGATCGTATGTCTAGTACTAGAGAAAAGAATGTGGAGTTTAAGCAGAGATAAAGTTATGATATTGTATCCAAATTCATCGAAAAATTATTTTTCAGCACGTTTGCACCGATAGATTAGAATGGTTTGTTGTCATTTGGAGTAAAGCAACTGTTTTTTGGGTCCCAATGTTTGAAAGGTTAAAGAATCCAAAGCAACTTGTCTTCCTTATGGAGGGAGAAGGACACACGACTTCTGTTGTGTTGGGGACTGGTGGATCCCCTACCTTAGATCGGATAATCAGTCTAGATTTGTACATCAGCGACATGGAAACTGCGACTTACCTTCCATTCCAGTTTACATCAGTCTGGATTGCCAGAGTTATATGAACGTCATCTGAATATGACCACCATGGTTTTCAATATTGGAATTATTGGGTATAATTAGTTAAATAAATTAAAATCGATTAATTTTGCATTGAAGAGTGAAGGTGTAGATTTGATGTATGCACCTTCGGTGCTAAAATGGGGAGACTTTGTCATGTATCAGATACGCCATCAGTCTTATTTTTAATACAAATTCAATATAATTTGATATGAAAACAATTGTTACAACTAGACCAAACAGTCTTACCATGTTGTACCCTCCATGGGTCACTACATTAGTGAAGGTTATTAGTTGTGGCAGCCTATAATAAGTAAGTTGTACAATGGTACTTCCTCTCTCTCTCTCAAAGACAGATCTTTCACATCAGGACTATGGTATTCAAGAAAAATAAATTTTTCATGGTCTAGTACCATGGAGTTCCGAAGATTTAAAATCAAAACGTCTGAATTTATAATTCATTTTTGTTATCACTTGAACTAACCGTTAAGTTACGATGACTTCGTTCTCTTTAAATAGACTCACAAATATTGGTGAAATTTGAAACAATTTGTTGCCTTACTTTATAAGTAGCTCCCAATTGTATCGTCGCACAAAAGATTTTTAAGATTAGATGATAGTCTCTACCTAATATAAAATTTATCGAGAAAAAAATGATCGCTCTTCGAGCAATACATATTACAAGGGATAGAGATAATGAGATTCAAACTCATAACCTTCAAGTCTAGCGGCAAGGCGGTAACCATTAATCTATTAATCATTAATCTATTCGGTAACTTTGATTTGGATCAAATCTAATCATCAATCATTAGGGGTTTTGCTATTAAATTTTTTACTCATATCTACTTCGTATATTACACAAAAAATTCATTTGTAACATACTTATATGATCATGGTCACAGGCAGAGGGAGGCAGGGGTCAGGGTGGGCACGTCCCCTCCCCCACCCCTCAATTTTTTTTTTTTTATTAGTTAGATATATGTATTATATATTTATACATATATATTATCTATGTCTCCCTCATTTATATTAGACTCACATTATTTACCTAAAATAATTGAAAAATTAAGATAAAAAAAATTGAACTCACTATTGTATACCCAAACTTATTTAAAAATCAAATATTTGACCTATCACAATCCACCCAAACTTATTAAAAAGACAAAATTTTTTGCCCAACATTAAAAACAAAACTTTTGGCTCACTTGACTAAAACATATCTTATCTTTCCTTTTTTTTGGGTCCAAAATTAAAAACAAAATTTTATTTTTGTTTCGGCTAAATAAAAATTAAATTTACTATTTCACAATAATTTAGTGTTGATTCTTACTTTTTTTTTATTCTTGAACTGAATTTTTTTGTATTAATTTCGGCTAAATATTTTTTTATATCAATTATATTTTGCCTCTATCATAGATATTTATGGCTCTGCCCTTGACAATATATTTTTTTTTTGAAATTTTTTATGTTAAATAGACTTTATATATCAAATATAATATAATAAATATAAATATATTATATAATATCGTTGGTTAGAAAAAAAAAATTAGAGTACATAATTAAATTACCCACCCTAAAAAAAATTCTTGGCTCTGCCCCTGATCATGGTCATAACTGAAGCACAGAAAACTTGTTCCCAAACTGAATCAACCAGCTAATTTTGTATATTAGTATAGTTTTAGGGGTGCATGTAAATTAGTTCTTCTTCTTTGCATTCTCTAATGTCGACTTCCATCACTTTGCCTGCGGATGAAGGTAGTAAATCACAACAGTGACGTCTTGGGGCCTGCAACTGTGAAATAACAACAGAAAATGGTATCAGAACTTCTCCAAAATTTTCCAAAAGCCTACATTTAGTGTACAACTCATTGCCGAAAATACTTAAAGGTCAAAACGACGTCGTTGGTTCCTTGACATAATTTTTCTCTCCTACGCGCGCACATATACATGCACCCCTGTTCCTTAAACCCTGTGCCCACACACGTGCACATACACTATCTAGGAAGTGCACACTGCACTAGGGTCGGCTCAAGGCTTAGGCAACTAAGTTGTTTGCGTAAGACTTCCAAAATAGTTATTTCTTTAGTATAATAGGTCTAAATTTTTATTTTTTATTTTATATTTTGGATATGATACAAATTTTTAGAACTCAAATTTTAAAAGTTTAAAATAAATATTTAATTTTGTTAAAATTTTAGAGGCCCCCATAAAATTTACCCTTTTAGAGTAATAGAATTTTTTTTTATTTGTATTTTAGATATAATTCAATTTTTTAGAGCCCAAATTTTAATAATTTAAATCAATATCTAACTTTTTTAAGTCCAAAATTACTCTTTCGTGTGAGTCTTGATTTAAGTTTTTCTAACTCTGTTGGGTGTGTTTATAGTTGTATTCCACTCACTGACATAAAAAATTTAAATACATTATTTTTTGTGATGAAAATCTATAAATGTGGTTTCTTTTTTGTTTTAATATAAATTTTCGGTCCAAATAATTTATACTTAAATTGTATGTGTTATCAAAATTTTGTATTTTATGTGTGCACATAACTAATGGATAAAGAATGATTTTTTGTTATCTTAAAATTATTTTTTCTTACATATTTTATTACTAAATTACTTGTTCAAAATTTAAATTAATAAAAACTTATTTACGATCAACTAAGATTGAATAAATTAACATTATTATCTACTGAAAAAGATTTATTGTTAAAACTTGATCAATGTTTTGCCTTTCAAAAAATAAATAAATAATAATAATTTTAAATAAATAAAAAATAAAATTATAATAATTAAAAATATTATATATTATTTGACAAAATTTTCGCATAAGACTCCACGTTGCCTCGGCCCGCCCCTGCTCTGCACAGACGTGCACACACCCGACCACAAACGCACATACATACACACTCCGTACCATAATCAATACCTGTTTAGTGTCGAGTTCTAGTTTCTGTGAGAAAACTCTGATCTCCTCTACTCTCTTCGGTGAAGCCACACCAATCAAGCAATTATCCGGGATCATTCTCCTGTAAATGCTCTCAATCCCATCTCTATCAGACGAAACCTTGTCAAGAAAGAACAGAGTCGGCCTTCGACATGGATCAGGGTGTCGTTCCCTTGTGTTAAAATTCAACAATGCATTCAAACCATTCCCATTTTTCCATGGCATAAACGTCTCCTCTGCGCAAATGGCGTCTGGCAAGAACACATTGTGTTCGAAAACTTGAACAGCATAGCCCCATGACACAGAAATTGTCCAAGAATACCAACGATCGTAACAAACCGTTTGTTGTAAGATCCTATGGGGATCAACCTTTGCAGCTTCAACCAAATGTTCTAAAGCCTTCATGGTTGTCATGTTTGGGAAGATTGGGTCTGTAGCATCCAAGTGATGGAGAGATACAAGGGGTGTAACTGGATGAGCGGCCAATAAACCGACGATATTGCCCCGGACATCCGTCTGAGATGATTTCATAAGCCCCAACAAAGAAGAAAACGTAAGGGCATAGACTCGGCCTCTGATTGATAATAGCTAATTGTGGAAATTTTTGACATGATAAGCTAATGGAACATGTACATGAGACAAAATTAGTTGGTTATGGTTGACTTAAGATTGATATAAATTTAAAAATTATATGATTTGTTAACATGACTAATATGTAAGATAAATGTCAAACACAATAACTCAATTTTAACACTACAAACCTGTTAATCGCTATTGTAAAAAAAATATTTAATTTTTTTTAAGAAAAATTTCAGTCACATTCCCTCTAATTTATCATATTTTCAAGGACATTTCTTCTAGTTATTGAATTTTCACTACTACCCCCTATTAGATTAAAGACCTTAACTAAAATATAATTTTACTAAATTGTCCATAATATATTTTAAGAAAAATTTCATACACACCCCTTTAGATATGCATATTTTCAATGAAACCCCCTTATTTTTTAAATTTTTTTATGTATTAAATTCGGGCAGACTAATATTCGATTTTAATTTGCTCAAATTAAATTTTAATCAACTCGTATAGAATTTTAATTAACTTTAATTTTGATACGTAAAAAAATATATATTTTAATCAACTCAAATTTTAATACGTAAAAAATAAATTTTAATCAACTTGAATCGAATTTTTATTGACACGGATTTTAATAAGTAAAAAAATATATAAACTTTAATCGACTCGAATTTTATTACCTAAAAAAAAGAATTTTAATACGTAAAAAAATAAAATTTAGTCAGCTCGAATCAAATTTTAATCGGGTCAAATTTTTATATATAAAAAAAAATTTAATTAGCTCAAATTTTAATATGTAAAAAATTAAATTTTAATCCAATTTTATGTAAAAAAAAATTGTTTGGGGATTATGTTAGGGTAATTTTAGTATTTTAGATAATTTTTTTAATTAGAAATGTTAGTTTAATGGCAGGGGGTGTCAGTAATGTTTTAGATAATAGAGGAGATATCTTTAAATATATGATAAACTAGAAGGGGTGTGACTAAAATTTTTTCTTTTTCCTATGATTTTCTATATGCTAATATGCTATTATAAAAGGATTTTTCAGATATTTTTTAGCATCGAATTCAATTGAATTCCTACTTTTGGGGGAAGTGGTTGGTTTAATTGAGATATAATAGATCTTAGTATTCACAAGTTATTTACGTCAACACAAATATGACAACATTAACGAACAGGACGAATTCGTTTATTGATTAAAAAATAAAATATAGTTCCACTTTGTAATGTCTCTGTCATTTCCTTTAGCTGTCGCGTTTTTTAGAATATATCTCTAATTATTGGTTTTACATTATTTTTTAACTATCATATTTCTCACATTACAACATTTATTACAATTGTTGATTTCACATACTCCAATTTAGACATAGAGAAAATGTATCTTTTATCATACAAGTGGGCCTTTTTTGTCCAAAACATAACGGGTAATTAATTTTAGGATAACGTAAAACCAATTCAATAACTAAAGAGACAAATATAAGACCAAGATGAAAAAATTGAGGGGTCAAAATGTAATTCAGCATTAATTGAAGAAGATGAGTTTGAATTGGGCAATGTAAACACCAATCCGAAATAAAACCAATGAGAACTACTACATTACACCCTATAAATAATCAAATTAAATTTGGGCCCTCTGAATTAGGGGAAAATATTCATGTAACATTATTACGTGGCGTAACAGTTCGGTAATAAATGACAAAGTTAGCATTTTGATACCTGGTGGAAACCGGGCTCCCGAGTCAGTCCCACACCGAGCTCAGCCAAACAAGCAGAAATCCTGCTATCGCTGCCATAGACATGTGGGTAACGTTCAAGGCACGAATCAAACACCTTCGCCAAAACCTTTGCCAGAGGATAACTTATAGCAAAACCACCCCCACCAAAAGCCATATCAAAAGAAAAGAGCTTGTTTTGCATATAAATCTCCGAATTAGTCCCAATATAGAACCACAACCCATCATCATACTTCGACAGTGTCTTCACCAAATTCTCCGGGAAGAACACCGTGTCATCGTCTCCGAACACAAACCACCGGACGTTCGAATGGTTAAGTGCAACAGTCTCTACAACCACTCGCGCCACCCGAATAGCCGACCTGAGCCCGCCCCTGTATGTGTACTTGAACCGTGAAGTGTCCTGGGAAATGCATATTGGAGGGAGAGAAACGTTGTCATTATCAGAAGTTGAATTGAGTAATAACGAGCTTTCGAGGAAAACACAGCCTCGCATTTGACCGGGTCTCCACCATAGCCGAACGTACTCCTTCCTCTCTGGCCATGATCTTTCGTTGGAGGCTATCCCAAAAACAATATGCTCCAAAGAGGTCGGAGAAGACACATCCTGTAGCAAAACTGGGGCATGTAACAACCTGGTTTTCGGAGCGAGGACTAATGACAAGAAGATGTAAATGATACAGAGGGAAAAACAGATCAAAATAAGGTTTGTGAGGCGTGGAGAGGATTGGTTTTGGGGGAGTTCTTTCATTTTTTTTAGGAGAGAGAAAAGGAGGTTTAGAGAGGAGTTAGTGATCTTTGGTTACCTTAAATGAACTTCTTTATAACTTTGTTTAAGTGTTGAGACGTAGTAAAGTTTTTGTAGCGATTGTTTTGGGGCCGCAATCCTCGGCGAAAGCAAGTAGGTAAGTTTTGACATTTTTGCATATGTTGCTTGTCCATATTGAAGGAAAGATAGGGTGTTACATCCCATAGGAAAAGATCTATTGTTTAGCCAATCAAAATGTTGCATATGAGGTGGGTTTATATAGGGTAATGGTTGAGTCGTGTTATTGTAATCAGATCGTGTTATTTTGAATTTATATTATTTACTACTATTAAATCGTAACTCGAGATATTTAATCAATCATATGACATAATTTGATAAATATACCCGTGTTTATTAAACGAGGCATGTTTGGATTGACATGTGTTCTAACCCTACACGGAATAATACTAGACCAACAAAATGAAAACACAGAAGAAAAATCAACAATTTTCTTACTGAAGGGCTTAGCCCTCATGATGGCACGTGTTAGAGCATTAAATAAGCGCACGTGAGATTGACAAGACTAGTCATGTGACGAAGAAGTCATTCACCAGGTCACGTGATCCAAGCCGAACTGATCAAAGGATTCGACAAATAAAGAAAGAGCTCGGCCCTCTTTATTGCCGAGCTCATGAATCTGGTAGCTTAGCAAGGGAAGTGCTCGGCTTGTACCAAGCCAGGTTCCCTAGAGTATTTGGGAAAGCAATTGAAAAGATTGGTTTGTACCAAACCAAGTCTCAAATTGTTCGGCGAATATCAAAAGTGCTCGGCGTTCGATATGATCGAACTGTTCAAAACGATAGATGGAAAGATAAAGATACACCTATAACTTAGGCAACCAAATAAAAAAACAACGAAATTATTGATATCAGGAGGAATTATTAGAGAAATATCAACAACTTTCCAAACTTAATGACTGAATAGAAAGAAGGTGTGCCACCTTGAACCTAAATTCATAGAAACCCTAAGGGGATAATGATCTATAAAAATCGAAAGGAGTCAAGGTGAAAGATACACTAAATTCTCTTAGACTTAGCTCAATTCTTTCTTTTTCATTACTGACTTAAGCTTCGGAGTGTCTTCGATCGAAACACTTCGATTTTGAGCAGTTTGTTCGATTTGCAGGAAAAAATTGAGGAGATTGTTCAAACTTCATTCCTAGAAATCGTATCACAAATTCAAATAGAGGTATAACCAATTTTCTGCCTCTACATTTTTGCCGCCGTCTGTGGGAAGATCTTCATTCTTCAGAACAAAAAGCTATGATGTCGAGACTCAGAACAGCAATTGGATCACTAGTAGGCAGTTTTGCCTTGGGGAACTCAGATCCTGTGACTCTTCCTTCTGATAGCAACACAAGGTTGCATGCAGTCAGAAGCTCCGCCAGAATTCATGAAGGTGATGAGGTATCCCCCATGAGTTTCAAGCCTTCGAAAAACAAGAACCAGCAAAGCGAGGATCATAGTAAATCCCTTCGTGCCGAGGGGGAGAACCACTCCTTGGCAAAACTGGTCCAGCCCCTGCAGGATCGACTTGATGCCCACGACAAGCTGTTTAAGAAATCCTATGCTAGGGAGAAGATTTGATCAAAGAAAACGAAGAGTCAAAAGCCAAGTTAAAGGAGATGACCAGAAGGGAAAAACATGCGAGAAAGGGTTGGCAAGAAAGTCCGGGAAAGAAGCCTAGTAGAATGAGAATTGTCGATGAGAAAGATTATCGACAGAAGAAGCCTCGGATCCAAGAGGAGGATACGTGGAAGCAGTATATCGACAAGGAGCTCAACATTCGCTTGAAAAGACCAGAGTAGAGGTCGGCCAGAGACCTAGCCAAAAGAGCAACCGGGGAGTATGGAGATGGATTGGAGTCATCCACATTCACTGTCTAGGTTGAAAAAGCACATATCCTGAGCAAATTCACCGTCCCAAACTTCAAGCTGTACGACAGAATGACCGAACCAGCCTCACATATCAAGCACCTCCGACAATTGATAACTATTCACCAAAAAAATGAGCCGCTGTTTTGCACTATCTTCCCTAGCAGCCTTGGGGAGTCTGCCATGAAGTGGTTCAATAGCTTACCAAAGGGAACGATTGACGGATGGTCTCAATTAGCCGAGCAGTTCACCGCTCGATTCATCACGAGTAGTAAACAACCAAAGGATGTTGGGGCTCTACTGACGCTAAAAAATAAGAGTAATGAAAGCTTGCAAGAGTATGCACATCACTATTGGGAGACTATGAATGAAGTCGAAGGATACAATCCAGATACTGCAGTTGCGTCCTTCAAGATCGACTTGCCAAAAGAAAATCCTTTATACCAATCGCTCACAAGGAGACTTTCTATTGACTTGGAGGAATTGGTGACAAGGATTGAAAAGTATGTCAAAGTTGATGACAACTTATCTAGGGAAGTGGTTAAGGAATATCCGAGCAGGAGACAGCTCGGTAGAGACAAGCAAACTGAGCTGAACAGAGAAGGAGGACAGAAATATGAGAAGGATGGATATCCCCAAAAATCCCTTTTTTTGGGAGTGAACACATTGTTCAAGGAACCAATTTACAAAATTTTAAGTCAAATCAAAGGAAAGCCTTTCTTCAAATGACCGAACAAGTTAGTAAGTGATTCATCTAAAAGAAATCCAAACTTTAGGTGCTCGTATCACAGGGATATTGGACACATGACTGAGAATTACTGATCTCTCAAGCAACAAACGGTGGGGGTGCCGAGCTAAAATGGGACCACAACACTCCAGCTGGGATAATTGATGTGATCCATGTTGCCACCAACTCTCAGATGTCCACAAACAAATCTGCTCGGGCTTATATTCAGAAAGCTGCCAAAAAAGATAGAAGTGTATGAGTTAAGGATGACCCCAGAGGTTGCTAATAAAAGAATCAAGATAGAGGACACTGCTGAAGCGATCTGTTTCACCGAGCAGGACTTGGTCAGCGTTCACCAACCGCACAACGACGCTCTGATCATCACACTTTGGATTGCAAATTTTGACGTGAGAAGGTTCTTGATTGATCTGGGAAGTTCATCAGAAATCATGTATATGAATCTGTTTGAAAAGCTCGGTCTCAAGAAAAAGGACCTCAAGCCCTCAAATACTCCACTTATAGGTTTTAGTGGAAAAACAGTTTTTCCTGAGGGGAAGATCACGTTGTCTGTAAAGACAAGACCAGTTTGTATCATGACCGAGTTCTTGGTAGTGAATACAGTCTCAGCGTACAACGCAATAATGGGGCGCACTTGGTTGCACGAGATGAAGGCAATACCATCAACGTACCATCAAATGCTGAGGTTCCCTTCGTTTGATAGTGTGGTAAATATCTAAGGGGACCAGGTCAGTTCCAGAACTTGCTTATTGGCCTCTGTTAAGTCTAAGGACAAGGCAGAGCACCAAGAAAACTGCTCTGTGGCATAGCAAAAGAAATAACAATCAACCTTAGACAACTTGGTTGACCCTGCCAATCAAGTTGTCAAAAACAGTCCTAAAGAACCTTTAGGCAAAGAAAATGAGGCTACAGACCGAACAGTTGAAGACTTGACTAGAGCACCTCTAGACAATGATGATGATCAGGAAAAATATTTTTTGTTAGGAACAGCTCTTAGTTCTGAACAAAGGACAAAGCTCGTCACACTGATGAAAAAATACGCCGATGTGTTTGCCTGGAGTACCATTGACATGCTCGGCGTACTGCCAGAAGTGGCATGTCATCGCTTAAATATAGACCCGAGCCACAAGCCAGTCAAGTAAAAGCTCTAGAGGTCGACTACACAGCATCAGGAAGCAGTGAAAGAGGAAGTGGCTTGCTTGCTGGAATCTCAAACCATTAGGGAGGTGAAATATCTGACCTAGTTGTCAAACACGGTGGTGGTGAAGAAGAAAAATAGAAAGTAGAGAATCTGTGTTGACTTCACCGGCCTGAATAAAAGGTGTCCAAAATATAGCTTCCCCTTACCAAAGATAGATCAGTTGGTAGATGTAACAGCGGGGCACGTGCAGATGAGTTTTTTGGATGCTTATAGGGGATATCATCAGATCCCCCTTGCCGAGGAAGATCAAGAGAAGACTGTCTTTATAACACTAGAAGGAATATACTATTACAGAGTAATGCCCTTCAGGTTGAAGAACGCTGGAGCAACATATCAGAGGTTAGTGACCAAAATATTTTCACATATGATAGGTAGTACTGTAGAAGTTTACATTTACGATATGGTAGTGAAAAGTTGAAAGGCTACAAGTCATTGTGCCGACCTGAAGGAAACTTTCAATATCCTACGAAAATATAAAATGAAGTTAAATGCGTCCAAGTGTGCTTCGGGGTCGGCTCGGGGAAATTCTTGGGGTTTCTGGTTACTCACCGAGGGATAGAGGTGAACCTCGACCAGGTCTAGGTTATTGCCGAACTACAGTCACCTCGGAATGTAAAAGAGGTATAGAGACTGACAGGAATGGCAGCAGCGCTCGGGAGATTCATATCTCGAGCATATGATAAATGCAGACCCTTCTTCTAGTCAATCAAAGGAAAGAGGGGAGCATTTTGGAGTTAGGAGTGTGAGGAGGCATTTGCAAAACTCAAGGAATACTTGGCATCGCCACCGATTCTATCTACTCCCTCCCCTGAAGAAGTGTTTTATCTCTACTTGGCTGTATCAAAGCACGCTATTAGTGGGGCATTGATAAGGAATAATGAGAGAAAGTTGAGACTCATTTACTATGTGAGCAAGATGCTCTTAGATGCAGAGTCAAGATACACTCCATTGGAGAAACTCGCACTAACGTTCATTAGCTCAGCTAGGAAGCTCAGGCGCTACTTCCAAGCCCACCCAGTTACAGTGCTTACCGATCAGCCCTGAAGTCACTTTTTTGTAAAGCTGATCTGTTCGGATGTGTTGCTAAATGGGCAGTTGAGCTCGGAGAGTTTGAGGTTCGGTTC